TCAGACCCTTGTGCTTGCTAGGGAAGCGTTTATTCTATTGAGCTATCTCCCAGCCCTTACATATAGTTAAGTACTATGACAAGTTGTATAATTTGAGCATACTCTTTGGGAAGCAGTAAAGTGATGATTAATGGTTTTGTTTGTTTGCGACAAGGCCATACTATGTTGTTTAGGCTGGCCTTAAACTCAGTAATCCTCTTGCCTCAGCCTCTCAATGCTGGAACTACAGGCATGCACATCATACCTGGCTAATGGTACTATTTTTAAAAAAATATTAAATACCCTACTAAGTCATTGATCTCTAAGAGTGTGTAATTTTATCACAGAAAAGGAAGCTAGGTTTGGCACATGCCTGTTATCCCAGCTCTCAGGAGGCTGAGCCAGGAGAATCATTGTGAGTTCAAGACCAGCCTGGGCTACAAAGTAAGCTCAGGTATTGCCAGCCAGATAGCTCAGAGGACTAAAGCACCTGCTTAGGCAGGCACAGCAACTGGCATTCGATCCTAGGTGTGCCATGCTGGCCCCATCCCCGTGGTACACTGAGATGGTGATTGAGACTGGACATAGTGGCACGTGCCTGTAATCCCAGTACTTGGGAGACTGAAAACAGGAGAATCATTACGAGTCCAATCTAGGAAGACCCTGTAGACCCTATTCTAAAATACATTTTTAAAAAAGTGAGCTGAGGGGCAGCCTGAACTATGTAAGCGAGACCCTGTCTCAAAAAGACAGGAAAAAAAAAAAAAAAAGAGAAAGAAATCTGTGCTTTATTTAAACAGAATTAGACTGATCTAGTTCTTTCTCTCCTCCCCACCCCCAGGTGGCTTTGGACATGCTAAATCCTCATGTGGCATTGCCTGCTTTATACCCACATCTTAAACAAGGTGGTGTATGTGTTGTATATCTAGCAAAGTAAGTAATGGGAAAATTTTCCTTTGTGATGTGATTTTAAAATATACTTTTCTTTTGCCTAAATACCAGATCCAGTATTCATTTTGTAGCTGAGAAAGCTCTATGTATTATGTTATAAAATTGCTGTAATGCAACAGGTGTGGTGACACATGTATGTAATCCCAGCAGTGTGGAGGCTGAAGCAGGACGACTGCTGTAAGTTTGAGGTCAGCTGGACTACATAGTTCAAGGCCAGCCTGAACTGCAGAGTGGGGCCTGCCTAAAAACAAAACAACAACAAAAACCCTGTTATATTATAATGCATGGTCTAAATTCAATAACCGTGTATATTCCTGTTTAAATCATTCTTTACAAATATAGTAATGAGGTGACTATTTCTTCTGATTGAAAGACAAGTTTTAGAAGTATAATGTGAACAGTAATATTCAATTATGGTCTCTTTTTTTTAATGTCACAGGTGAAATTATTTATTACATACCCTAAATTGCATGTTCATCCTCCACTAACCTGATTTAAGTGGCATTTAAATTTGGGTATTATCACTTAAATTTAAGTATGAATTACATCAAACTAAAATAAAAGTTATTATTTTAGTGGAAATGTTAAGTGCATTTTTTTGCCTTTCTGAAAGCATCACACAGGTTATTGAACTTTTAGATGGAATTCGCATCTGTGAACTTGCACTCTCATGTGAAAAGATAAGCGAAGTCATTATCAGAGACTGGTTGGTTTGCCGTGCAAAAGACAAAAATGGAATTTTACCTAAAAAAGTAGAACCTAAAATCAACACAGATTTACAATTACATTCTGAAAAGGAAATTGAAGATGAAATTGAGGTGTTTCAAGAGGATAATGATGGTGAATTTCAATTTTATTTTATCCATGTGTTCATATTAACAAGAATGGATAACTGAGTGTATTGACCAATAGGTAATAAAAATGTTCCTTAGAGATTTTTTCCTATAAAACTTTTTTTTTCCTATAAAACTTAAAATGTGGTATTTATTCAGTTAAATTAAGATGTGTAAGGGACAAAATAATGAATTTTTCTGCCTTTTATGTAAATATCTTGTATCTTTGAGCTTTGTATAAGATTCATATTTTGGGTGTGGTGGCACATTCCTATAATCCCAGCACTCAGGAGGCTGAGGCAGGAGAATCATGAGTTCCAGAGCAGCCTGCGCTACAAAGTGAGTTCAAGGCCAGCCTGAACTACATAGCAAGACCCTGTCTCAAAAAAAAAGAAAAAAAAAATCGTAAGTTGCTTGTTATCAGGAGGTTGGTTTGTAAAAAAATTTAAATATACTAAAACATATTGATTGTATTGATTAAGTGGTACTGAGGATTGAACCACAAAGGCACATCCTTAGCCCTTTTTATTTTTTTATAGTTATTCAGCAGAGGTGGTTATGTTGCACATAGCCCTTTTTATTTTGAGACACGGTCTCACTAAATTACCCAGGAAGGGTCAAACTTACAATCCTCCTGCATTAGGCTCTTCAGTGCTGGGATTATGAACACACCTGCCTCTACCAAAAGATGTTTTGTTTTTATCTTTTATTTATTTATTTTTTGCAGAACCAGGGATTGAACTCAGGTCCTTGTGCCTGTCAGGGAAGCACTTATTCTACCAAGCCATCACCCCGGCCCCATGTTTTTTATCTTTTAAAGACAGGGTATCACTATATAATTCAGGCTGGTGTTGAACTCCACAGAGATCCTCTTGCATCAGCAGGATTACAGGTGTGCACCACCATACCTTGTAATGATGTTTTAAATACACATCCATGATTATTACTAAAAGAATGGATTTAACAGATCTGTCTTCAAATAGTAACACTGTGCAAACTAACTCCTAAACTTGGGCACACTCTTGTAATCCTAGCACTTAGGAGGCTGAGGTAGGAGAAAAGCTGTGAGTTAAAGGCCAGCCAGAACTACAGTATTGAGACCCTATCTCAAAAAACAAACTAAAAACAAAAAAACAACTCCTAAGATGATGCTCACATTCTTTCAAGAGCTAAGTTTAGGTCCTTGTTGTATGTACAGAGAATTTAAGGTTTTCAGGTATCCACTGACCTATTTCGTTATAATCCCTATGTAAGGTTATTATGTAATACTTATGAATTATTTCTATACAATAACTGACAGAGTAGCCCCAAAACAAATGCTTGAGAAAGTCTCAGGGATGGGCAAAGTGGTACATGGCTCTAATCCCAGTATTTAGGAGTGTTGGTGTGCTTCCAAGCTCAAGACCCTGCCTCAGGGGCTGGTGAGATGGTTCAGTGGTCTAAAGCACCTACTTAGAACAAACTTAGCAGAACACAGGGACCACGGTTCAATCCCCCAGCACCACATGCCAGCCAGCCCCGCCCCCTGGTGGGCTGAGCTGGCCACACACACACACCCCACACACAATAAATAAATTAAAAAAAAAAGACCCTGCCTCAAAAAAACCAAAAAACAAACAAAAAGTCTGAAAGGGGCAGTCATTAATATTTAACTTTTTGTGAACAAATTATGAAATAGTAGGGTGGGCTTAGCTGGTCACAAATTTTATATATATATGTTTATAGTGTATATCTCTACTTTTTTCTGCAGTAGAAGAATCACAGTCTGATTTGCCATATGGATCCTTTCCCTATATTGCAAGACCTGTCCACTGGCAAAGTGGTCATACAGGTGAGTAACGTGTTTAATGCATGTGAAATTATTTTGTTTTCTAACTAATGCAATGCACTGACATTACTTTTTTTCTTCTTTTAAATTAGCTTTCCTTGTCAAGTTGAGGAAAGTCAAACCACAGTGTAACTGAATATCTCAGATGACAGCAATGGATTTGAGGATGAAAAGCATCAAGCTATATTGCTAATCACTACTTTTATAAATAAGTACTTTTTAGCTATCGCCATAATTTTTTTATTACTATATGTATAACTTTTACATAAAAGTTTGAAAAATAACAAAAACTAAAGAAAGCTGTGTAATATTGCAAAATTGCTTAAGTGTCCCATTTTGACATTGGTCTTGCATTTGACATTTCATAGCTATTGATTCCATGTTGCTTTAATTGAACCATCTTATTCTTCACTTCCTGTAAACCACTCCATAGATTTGTCTTTCTTCATGAAATTAGCGTTCTTTTCTTTGCTTGCTTGATGGTCATTTGCAACTGAAATGAAATAGGCACTTTAATATAAATTATCTGTATCTGTATATTTTAAATATGTATTTCAATGGCTTGTACATATTTTAAAAATAATAAAATTTGGGTTATAATAAAATTGATAAAACTGAGTTTTAACTACCTTAAATTTTTTTTTTTTTTTTAAATGTAACTTAAAAAAAATTCTGGTCATTGAACCCAGGGCCTCAAGTGTCATATGTGCTAAGTACATGAGCTATATACTCCATGGTTGACAACTTTTAACTTTCATTTCTGTCAGAATCTTAACTATTTTGAAAGCACATCAGAGTCATTATATATAAGTAAAATGTAGAAATACAAGTTAGACATGGATTAATTAGGAACAGATAGGACTTATTTATCATTTGTGAGAATCAGTTATTTTCCATTTACTATATACCACACACTTTCAAAAACTTTATAAAAATCTTTTGCTGAATAGGTGAAGAAACACCTACTGAATTCTCAGTATAGAAACACAGAAAGTGGGAAAATGGCTCAGAATAAGTGGTTTCCTGGCAAGCGCAAGGGCGTGAGTTCAATCCCCGGTCCTGCCAAAAAAATGAATAATAAATAAATAATGGAAAAAAAGAACACACACACACACACACACACACAAAGTATGAAAAGTAAGGTAGCATGACTCCTCCAGATAGCCATACTGGATACAAAGATATTGAAGTAGGTAGGCTGCCAAAGAATTCAGAAGACTGATGTGTAAAATAAGTAATGACCTCAAAGAGGACACAAATACAAAGCTGGGCACGGTGGTGCACACCTATAATCCCAGCACTTGGGAGGACTGAAAGTCTGAGCCAGCCTGGGCAAGTTAATGACTTAATGAAAGTACAAGTGTGGGTGATACTGCTCGCTGTGAAGCCCTGGGTGTAGTCTCTAGGACTGGAAAAAAAAAAAAAAAAAGAAACAGCTGCCTGAATTAAGGAAGACAATGCAATCATTTTTTTTTTTCCTTTTTCTTTTTTGACACAGGGTCATGCTGGTCTTGAGCCCCTTTTTGTAGCCCAGGCTGGCCTTGAACTTATGGATCCTCCTGCCTCAGCCTCCCAGCTATGATTATAGGCATGCACAACCATGTCTAGCCAAGAACATAAGATTTAAAGGAGTAATTCAACAAAGAGATAGAAATCCTGAAGAACCAAACAGAAATTCTGGAAATGAAAAACACATAAAAAACAGTGGTGGCGAGCCAGGGAGATGGCTCAGTGGAATAGGTTCTTCCCTGGCAAGCGCAAGGGCCTGAGTTCAATCCCCGGTTCCACAAAAAAAAAAAAGTGGAAAGCCTTACCAATAGGACCAAGAAGAAGATAGAATTTGAAGGCTTGCTGGGCTTGGTGGTGCAAATCCCTGTACTCAGGAGGCTGAGGAAGGAGGATCGCTGCAAGCTTGAGGCCAGCCTGAACTACATAGGCACCAGACCTGCCCTTAAGGCACCCGCAAGTCACCAAAAAAAAAAAAAACCCTGTCTCCAAGAAAAGAACTGGAGGGTTTGAAAGTAAGGTTGAGGAATTACTACATGCTGACACTATTAAAATTATGAACAAAATATCCAAGAACTCTGGTCATGATTAAAAACACAAACTTAAAGTTTTGGAGTGTAAGAAGCAGCTTAGGTTCAGACTTACAGCATAGGAAATCTGATGAAACAATAACAGAAAGCTGGGGGCCTGGCCCTAGCTCAGGCCTTTAAGTGGCTGCTTCCACAAAGCTGTCAGACTCAGGTTGCTGGAGTTCGAACCTCACACCTCTACAGCTGGCCAAAAGTGCCCTGAAGGCATTCGCGGAACAAAAAAAAAAAAATAACAGAAAGCTTCCCAAATCTTGGGGGAAACATAGATGTCTAGGTACAGGAAGCATGTAGAATCTCAAACAGGCACAACCAGAAAAGAATCTGCCCACTTGATGTTATGGTTAAAATGACAAAAATACAGAAGATGGAAAGTCTATTAAAAGATACAGGGGGCTGGGGAGATAGCTCAGTGATCTAAGCACCTGCCTGACAAGCACAAGGACCCAGATTCAATCCCCAGTACCACATGCCATGCTGCCGTGCTGGCCACCCAAACCAGGCATGGTGTTTTACAGCTATAATCCCAGCACTGGGGAGGCTGAGACAGGATGATTACTGCAAGTCAGAGCTGTGGAGCAAGACCCTATACTACATAAATACATAAATAAAGTATTAAAAAAAAAAAAAGATACAGGAGAAAAATGCCACATCACTTAAGAGGCAAGCCCATGAGAAAAACCTCAAACTGCTCTGCAGAAAACCCAAAGGCTAGGAAGGCATGGAACAAATATTTCAAGCCCTGAAATAAAATAATTGCCAACCTAGATTACTATATATCCAACAAAAATAACCTTTAGAATTGAAGGAGATGGGGCTGGGGAGATGGCTCAGTGGAATAAACGCTTCCCTGGCACAAGGGCCTGAGTTCAATCCCTGGTTCCGCAAAAAAAAAAAAAAAAAAGAACTAAAGACCTTCCAAGATAAGCATAAACTAAAGAAATTTATGACCACTAAGCAACTTTGCATGAGGTACTTAATAGAATCCTGCCCACAAAAGAGGAAGAGTAAGCTATTGAGAGGAAAGAATAAAACATTAGATAAACAACAGTATGGCAGGAACTAGTTGCATACCTTTCTGAAATAGCTCAGTGTAGTCATAATTCTTTAATTAAAAGACAGGGTAGCAAACTGAAAACTTAAAAAATTAATTTTTCTTTTTTTTTTTTTGCAGGGGGAAGGGTGTGCAGGGTGTTCAGGGTCTCACTGATAGATGGGACTCATAGTGATCTGCCTCTTTACAGCCTCCCAAGAGCTGGGATTACAGGTGTGTGCCACCACACCTAGTCTCAGTTGTCATCCCAGTATGACCTGGGGGTTGGGCCGGCTCAGCATGCCTGGGGATTGAACCCCCGACCCCTGCACCTGCTTGCAGGCACTTTAATCGGCTGAGCTATAAAAAATTAAAATTTAACCTGTTTGCTACTTGCAAGGAACACTGTTAGCCCAGGGTTCCACAAAAAGGAAAAAAGACAAAAACAAAAACAAAAACAAACCAACACTGTTAGCAAAGACATACACAGACTGTAAGTGAAAGGATGGACAATATTCCATGCAAATGGAACCTGAAAGCAAGCAGGAGGAACCTGAAAGCAAGCAGGAGCACATTGCTGTGCTCATATGTGACAAAGCAAACGTTAAGACAAAGGTAGGTAAGGTAGAGGAGGATACTACGTATTGGTAAATGGAACAATCTACCAAAAAGATACAACAGTTGTAAAGATATATGCACCAAACATAGCTGCACTCAATTTCATTAAAAAAAAAAAAACTACTGTTCAACATAAAGGGACATATAGGTCCCAACACAGTAAAAGTGGGTGACTTCAATACTTTCCTCTCACCAATAGGTCACCAGATTAAGAAAATCAGCAAAATCTAGGCATGGTGGTATGTATCAGCACTGAGGAAGCTGAGGCAGGAGGACCCTGTCTCCCAACACACGACCCCCCCAAAAAAAAAAAATTACTGGGACCAGGGAGATGGCTCAGTAGACTAAGTGCTTGCCTGGCAAGCTCAAGGGCCTGAGTTCAATTCCCTGGTTCCGCCAAACAAAAAAAAGAGACTTGTATCCTACTACCACCCACACCAAAAAAAAGGAGGAAAAAAAAATTACTAAAAAAATCAGGTTGCTGTGTGTGATACATGGAGCTGGAGGGCTGCCTGGGCCCCCAGAGATGCCAGCGTGGTATGTGCGGGTGCCACATCTCCCTGCATCTTGCCTGGATGCATTTGGAGACCTGAGGAAGATGAGCAACACCAGCTCCTACCAGCTTTTAAACTTTGCCATGATCGTGTCTTTGAGCTTCTACGGAAAGGCTTGATCGTCCTCACAGGCAATGAGCCCCACTGTGGAACTGAGGGGCAGCATGGAGCCAGCCAGCCTTCCACCCAGGACACCTTCTGTTCCTCACAAACTTTAGGAAGACCCTAGTAGAGCTAGTGAATAGTTTTTAAAGCTGAAGGATGGTGGGCTAGGGAGATAGCTTGGTGGTCTAAGCAAAGCAAAGGACCTAGGATGAAACCTGCTATGCTGGCCCTGGAACCCCAAGTATACTGTGCCAGTCCCAAAACCAGGTGTGGTGGTGCATGCCTGTAATCCCAGTGATGAGGAAAATGAGACAGGAGAATCACTATGAGTCCAAGCTGCGTAGTAAGACCCTGTTTCAAAAAATTAATAGTTTTTAAAAATTAGAAAAAAGTTGAAGGACCAGACATTCCAATAGTTCACAGAGTAATCAACGTTCATAAAAAAAGATAATGGTGAAGCCTGGGGAGATAGCTCAGTAGAATAAGTGCCTTCCTGGCAAGTGCAGGGTCCTGAGTTCAATCCCTCGTACCACACACACACACACACACACACACACACACACACACAAAGATAATGGTGGCTGGGGGTTGTGGGTTAGCTCAGTTGTTTTAAGTGTCTGCTTGGACAAACCTAGTCAGGGGCAGGGGACCATGGTTTGATCCCCAGACCCAGCCCTAAGGCAGCCTGAGCCAGCGCCCTGGCATCAAATTTCTGACTGAAGATGGTAATAGTTGATGACAGAGGCTTGTACAAAGGAGGCCATAACTGGCTTGAAAAGAAGGACATGGTAGGAAAAGCATGAAGGTTTTTTACCATATGTTGGTATGGTCACCATAATAATGACTGTTCAAAATGTAAGTATGCACTTTTGACTCTAATGGGTGCATATGTGTTACTAAAACATGAATCCTGGGGCTGAGGAGATAACCCGGTGGTCTAAGCACCTGCCTGGCAAGCGTAAGGGTCCAGGTTCGATCCCTGGTACTGCATGCCATGTCGGCCCCAAAATCAGGTGTGGTGCATTCCTATAATCCCAATGTTGGGGTGGCTGAGACAGGAGGATTACTACTTGTTTGAGCTGTGGAGCGAGACCCTGTACCAAATAA